TGAGAAGTGAAACGCCTTCGAAGAAAAACCAGAAAGTCCAGTTGCCTCTTGAAAAAGCTCCCACTCATCTCTCAGCCCCATCCCTCTCACCGGAGAAGATGGGTGCGGGTGGGCCCAGGGTCCAGTCGGAGCTTATGGCAGGTGCAGACTGCAGGTTGTCCTGGGGTTACATGCCATGCAATGAACTCTTACACCAATTCACCTCGTCTCACAACAGGATGGCCCTGGCTGGTGTATCACACTCAGTTAAAAATAAAACCAATAAATACACATAAAACAATCATTAAAAACTACAAAAATCACCAAAAAGTGCACGAAAGAAGAGAGGGTGGTGTTAATTGCAGTAAGAGAGCCATTGCAAAATCTTCCGGCTTCCTGGGACCCCCAACCTGATAATATATTTGATAATATAATCTTGATGGATTTGCAGAATGTTGAGAGGGAGGGAGGGAGCTGATCTTACTTGGGGGAGGGCGCGATAAGATTCCCCAAGGCAGGTTCCAGGGCAGAGATTAATGACCACAGTTGACTGTATACAGTGCAGAAGGATGACCGTGGCTATAAACGAAATCACAGCCCTGCAGTTACTTCCCAACCACGTAGTGCCTTCCACTCTTTCTTAGCTAGATTGATTTTTGTTTCCCCCCCAATATATTTTAAATCTCCCATGTTTGTCCTGGGGAGTAAAAAAAACAGCAACTGTGGGTCCTAACCATTTTGTTCTTCTGTGGTGCAATAAGTTTGATCCCTGGGGTCTCTGTCAGCCACACCCCTCACTCCGGAGTAGACTGTGGCTTGACTCCTGCACTCCTTGGCAGCCCATATAATTGCTTCCAATTGTTTGCCTTGCACTTTGCAGAAGTAAAATATGCAACAGCCCTTTTCCCCGGCTGCTCAGGTCAGAGGGCTCCTTCCCATGATGACACAAAGGCAACAGTGTGCAAGCGCTCTATAGGGGCTGTGCCGTTGCCGGGGAACCCAGATCGGGCCTCAAAACAACAGTCGTGTTAGTGAAGCCATCATGCGCTGGGCATAGCGAAAGGCAAGCTACACCGTCCTTCCAAATGGAACATTCACTGTGACACCTTATTTGTTTCTGTTAGGGCCCCTCCAAAACAAGCATTCTTTGGACCGATCGTGTTGCAATTAGAAAAATAAAATGCAAAAGGGAGAAATGTTAATAGTGAGAGCAGTATAATAATTTACCTTTATTTATGCAGGTAGTTCTATAACGCTTAATCACATGCGTTGCAGCAAAAGATGTCACGATAACCTTAGGCTGCTCACAGCATTGCAGGGTCTCCTTCTGGGGTTCCTCAGCCGGGTGCAGAGAGAGTTTCCATGCCAGCGTTCTCATAACGGAAAGCAGCAGGCATTTTGAATTAATAGATTAATTAGATTAATAGACGGTCCCAGAAATGAACAGCCAAGCAAACAAGTCTCTCAGAGAATTGATTTCATTCTACTAAAAAGAGGGGGCAGCACAAAAATTCCAACCACTATCTTTGTTTTCAGATGGGAGCCTTCGAGGTGTGTCATTCAAAATGGTTAACTCTCTTTCTCCTGTGCTTTGGTGAAAGAAAGATGCAACCTCTTGAATCCGGGAGCATGAGCCTGCTTTTGTACCCGTGTTTCCCTGAAAATAAGACCGGGTCTTATTTTATTTTGGGGGGTGTCTTATTCCCCACTCCCCATGTATGGTAAACCCACTTTTGCTTGCTTGCGGTGGGGCAGGAGGCCACGTGGCTTGCTAGTGTCGCTGCCACAAGGCAGGGGGGACGGACTGCCCCATGCACCCTGCATCAGCCAGTTCCCCCATGCCTTGCCTTGTGGCCACCACACCAGCAGCCCCGTCCAGCAGGACCCCGCATGGCTGCCAGCCCACTTCTTCGGCTTGCTCACAGCTGCAATGGAACAGGAAGCTGAGCAATGCGCCAGTGCGAGTGCTGCAGCCAAGAGGTGAGGCGGGTGGAGCTTCCCCATTTGCCCCACACTGGCTTACCGCAGGGCCCCCGCAGTCAGGCCATCCACGCCCTGACACACGCTTCGATTCACAGCCATGCACCAGCACACTGCTCGGCCTCCTGCTCCATTGTGGCCATGAGCAAGCGGAAGAAGTGGGTCGGGGTTCCTGCTGCACATGGTGGTTGTTGCTGTCGCCATGAGGCAGGTGTCGGGGTGTGGATGGCCTGGCTGCGTGGGCCCCGATGGAAGCTGGTGTGGGGCACATGGGGCAGCTCCATCACCACCCCACCTTTTCTTGTGGCCGTGGCACCATGAGCAACCAGGTGGAATGGGCGGGCGGACGGGCGGCTGCGCAGGCTCTTAAGTGGGGTTTATTTTGGCAGTAGGGCTTATATTAGGTACACGCATAAAGCATGCTAGGGCTTATTTTGGAGATAGGTCTTATTTTCAAGGAAATTGTATTTACACACTAATTAAATGTGAATTCACTCTCACACTTGGACCTTCATTAATGGCATTTTATGTTGATAGTTTGAAAAGGGCATGCCTTAGCAGTAATTTTTTTCTGTATGATTAAAAATAATGCATAAGTGGTTCTCCTACCCTAAAGGGGCTCATGACAATCTAACTCAATGTTTCTCACCTTTGGCAATTTTAAATATGGCTGGTTGGGGATTTCTGGGAGTTGAAGTCCATACATCTTAAAATTGCCAAGGTTGAAAAACACTGATCCAGTTCGTTTATAGCAGCATGAAGGGATGTTAGTTGTGCTCCAGCAGTGAAGGATACAACTTGTGTGTCTTTTCCAAAATATGACACTACCATGTCATGATGTCTCCTTTCTCATGATTTTATTCAGGTGCTGTGCTCCCTGCTGGTGGTAGTTCAACAGGCAGCGTCAATGGATATCACACCTGCAAAGGTGAGGCAATTCAGCTAATTGTGCATGCCTTGTGTCTTTATGTAACTGCGATGAGGCCTATCAATAGCAATTTTGTTTGCATTCCCATTGTTCAAACAAAGAGAGTAAGTTGCTTTGACCTTTGCAGTTTCTTTCTTTTATGAGTCAGGGGCCATGTGGATGGAGTAAAACCGGAAGGTTCTTTCCCACTCCTTCCCTTGTCACTCATCTCAGGTTATTTCAAAGGTTTTAACTAAGTGGAAATCATAGATGCCTCCAGAATGTAAAGCTTCCTTATGGCTCTCTAAGCAAAGGACCTGCCGATTCTGAGGAAGAGGATAGTTTAAAAGCTGCAGATTATGGAAATGCGGAAGTCTCTTTTCTTCCATCATCCCTTTTCTTAAGAAAAGGGGAGCCGGAGTGTACAGAAGGCCTTTCACCTGAATCGACCTTTGATGTTTTTCATGCATGTTGTTTATTACACTGAACATATGTAGACTCCTACATCTGTATCTGTTACATTGAGCCCTTATATGTATATAACCAGAAGCAAATTAAAGAATTCCTCTCATTCCACTTGGGTTCTTTTTCTGCCTTAGATCTGACAGAGATCCAGTGTGACATGTCGGACGTCAACCAGCAGTACGAAGGGCTGGGTGCTGCTTTACGGGGGCGTCTTGAGCAACTCTCGGCCATGTTGGAAAAGATGAGGGAGGCCCAGGACCAGGTGAACGCTGTGCTGACATGGTTGGAGGAGAAGGAGCAGGCTTTGAAAGTCCTGGAAGCTTCCTCTTCACCTACAAAATCGGAGACAATGAGAGCTCAGGCAGAACATAACAAGGTCTTATTTTCATGTATACATAAAAGCCTGTTTCTTGTTTTTTTTTAAACCATCCATAATAGTATTTTTCAGCAAAGCATATGGCAAGTGTCTTGACCTTTTGTAGCTTTTCCCCCAGGAGAACGATTCTCCGTTTGAGGCAGATCTGAAGCATCAAACTGAGTTTATAAATCCCTTTTCAGCCCTCCCACAAAAATATAATGTAGTTATTCAAATGGTTGAAATTCCATTTAAAAGAGATTTGTGGGTGCTCTGTAATATATTCTGGCATTACTATTACAAGTGCTGCTTGGAGAGTGTCCTTTCAAAGAACAGCCTACCATATTTTGGGGAGTATAAGACTCACTCCCCCCCACAAAATGGGTGGAAATGTCTGTGCATCTTATACAGCGAATGTTGCCGAAGCCCCGCCCATTCGCTGGCCCCCACCCTTCAGCCTCTGCCTCCCAGCCATTTGCCTCCTTGCAGCAAACAGCAAAAAGCCTGGTCAGCTTCAGCACAGCCTGATTAGCACAAGCAGCTGATTGT